TTTGTCAAAATACTTATGCCACCCATGAAAGTACTTTGTTTTTAGTTTTAATTAAATAAAAAATCTAAATCAATGTTAAACATGAAAAATTGTTATATTTATAATTTAATATATTGTAACTAAATGAACTATGTACAATCCATAAATACTTTTCTCTTTAAAATAAATAAAATTTCAAACCGAAACTGAGGMATCGCTATGTCAAAATATATATGCCGACCAGTGTATATACAAATATTATATACGATATGTAATATATATTATATATAGTTATATACAATTATGTTTAATCTAGTGCAAGGTCAGATTAAATTAATTTCAAGGTGCCAGTCCTGCTACAAGCAGTGATTACCTTTCTCTGGATTTTATTATTGAGAGTTACCGCAAATGGGCCGAGAGCCGAGAAGCCGATTCAGATATGATTCTTTTGTGTACATGAAAGCACTTTGAGCGCTTATTGATTGATTTGTGGCCTGCATCAAATAGTCCTTGTAGCCCTTCAGCAATTTATTAATGACCAAAATCCAGTTAAAATTTTACTTGAGGTATGACGTATGACGTATGCATATGTGTATGTAATCAAATGTATAATCAAGCATAGCTAACATTTCGATATTTCTCGCAGTTACGGCATGCCGCTTCGTTAACCGAAAAAAATTAAATTTAAAGTTAAAATACAAGATTAAGTTTTGATGAGACGACGACTACTCAATATATGAATATAAAAAATTAATATTATAACCATGAACTTAAATGCGCTGATGTGATCATTATTGTCATTTACTTAAACGCCTACCTATCCTAAGTGTTCCGAAATAAAAAAGGTTCGTAAGCTGATAGACTACAGACTGAACTATTGAAATCTAGCGAAACAAGTGTTCGCAACAGCGGAAAATTTTCTTAATTTGATAATGTTTTGCTAAGACCGACGTGACTGTTTGCGATAACTTTAGTAGGATACACAATGGTTTGCTCATTTTTTAAATACATCTATGAAGCTCAAGGATTTCTTATACATCTTCTATATCAACTTTTAAATAAATATTCATCTAATTTTGCCGATATCTTCACGTTAAAATTTTAAAACAGCTGGTAGCACTGTTCCCAACAAAAATTAATTTTACATAAACTCATAATTTTAATACATGCATTCAAATTAATGCTACAAAAAATTAAACAAGTGGCAACCCTTTCCACAAATTTAGCCTTTTAAGCCTCTTATATCTGATATTGTAATCATTTATAACTTATTTTATAAATTGTATTAACTTAAAGATCTTAACCAGGTGGCAACCTCCGAAAAATATTTAATATTTTAATTTTAATATATTAATATAATTAAGATTTTCAAGTAGCTGGCTACCACAAGTTATTCCATTTATGTAATAAAATTAATGGCATAAAAAATTAAACAAGTGGCAACCCCTTGCAAAAATTAAACCTTTAAACCACTTTTATTTGATATTGTAATATTTTTTTTCCTATTTTATAAATTGTAATAAATTAAATTTTAAACAAGTGGTAACCTCCGAAAAATATTTAAAATTTAATATTTTCTCAATCTTTTTTGAAGAGCTTCCTTAGCTTTAAAATTTTTTCAATTAAGGTTTTCGAATAGGTGGCAGTCAAAAGTTACTCCATTTTTGAATAAAAATTAGTGGTATAAAAAGTTAAACAAACGGCAATCCTTTGCAAGAGTAAGCCTTTTAAGTCCTTTTTATTTCATATTGTAATAATTTATTTATTATTTTGTAAATTGTATTCAGTAAAAAAATTTTAACTAGGTGCAAACTATGAAAAAATTTTGAAACTTATTATTTCCCCAGTATTTTCTTGAAAATTATTCAAATAATTTATGTATTAAAATTAATGATATAAAAAATGTAATAAGTGGCAACCAAAAATCACCAAAATTAAGCCTTTTAAACAACTCATATTCAAAGTAATACTGTACATACATATCTTACTTTATTAAATTGTATTGACACGTTAACCAGGTGGCAACCTCCGAAAAGTATTTAAATATAATTACATATATAATTAAATATATCTCCAGTCTTTTTTTTAATGTCTTTTTTTTTCTTTAGCTTAAACCTTTTTTCAATTATTAAATTATTTTCAAGAATCAGGGTAAACACCGTCTTTCTCCACCCAATAAACGAAAGTATGGGTGGTAATCACACCATCACTACCATATGTAACGTTATTTTTCGATACTACATTCTTACTAATTTGGCTTTGTAATTCGAATTATGATATTGTTGCTCGATTATAATCCAAATTAAGTTGTTAACGACATCAGAGACTATATAGCTCAGTTAAAAAGTACCATTTTATAATGTGCTTGTTACAAAAACTATTTGCCTTCAATACACTACTATACTATAATATAAATAACTTGTCGTTATCATGTTTTATAAATATATACAGCGAGCCGTTACATTGTGGGCAAAGAAAGGCATAAAATAAATTTCAAAATAACTTAGAAAACTCAAGAATTATGGAGTAAGTTCTTATACATATTAATATTTTTCAAATTTATCAACTAATTTGATGCATCGCCTTTACATCATCCGTGTAGAACCGAACAGGAGGACCTCCCGGCTGGTAAACGCTGCAAATACTTTTTCGCCCATCATTGGAGGGGATTTATCGCTTTCACGGTACCAATCTTGTTGTTGCCATTACTTTTCATCGAACCCAATATGGTACGTACCCTAATTGTGGTCAGTAGGCTACATTCAAAGCTATCATGCCATTGACAGGAAATGCGCTGTTGTTATGTGGTGTGTTTGATGGCCGTTTTCTGGATTGGTGAATTGCTGCCACTGGGCATAACTTCTCTCTTGCCCGTAGCACTCTTTCCACTTTTGGGTGTTTTGGTATGAACATTCGAAACTTATCAAACGTTTCATACATATTTATGTGGCTAATATTTGAGACATTTTTAGGATACCGCAACCACAGTTAATGCATACTTTCCGAACGCCATCATATTGTTCTTCGGCAGTTTGGTGGTTTCCTTGGCCATCGAGTATTCGAATTTGCATAAACGTATTGCCTACGCTGTACTCTCCATAATTGGCTGTAAAATATATAGGTATGTAGGAGTGACATAACGAGCGCTTTTTTTGCAATGAGTTTTAAGGAAGATAGGTTTTTCTTCAACAAAATACGGGAGCTTCCATCGTATAGTATATATAGTATATTCTATAATTATAAGCGACTTTTGTCAAATTTTAGCTGAATCGGGCTCGAAGCTTTTATGCCATTCAGGAAAATAACAGTCTTTATTTGAATTCAAGGAGCGCTGCAATGCTATTTTGATAAAATTTCGCCTTCGATGCCGCCCGTCACACATCTAATTTGAAGAACCAAGGTGCGCTGAAAATTACTTCTACGAAAATGACGTTTTGAAAGTCCACAATCTGTTGTTAGCAGACGGACGGTTGAAATGTCTCAAAAGGCCGCGTCTCAAAAGATCGCATGGTTCGTCCGTTCCCACGACATTTGGGTCCACGTATTCGGAACAAACCCGGATATTTTATCCGGTCAAGGGCTGTCGTCAACTCGGCAAAATTCTGTCGCTACAACAGCAACCGCACGATCCATAACCTACTTGGAAAATTGTACATGAGAAAATCTGCAGCAATATTTGATGCTGTATAAATGTAATCCGAAGCAGTTTATTCATTGTTTTGTAACCATCGGATCGGACAGCTCATGGCTTTGCCACAGAACACATCCTAATGGCATCTTATGCGAACCGTATGGTTATTATTAAGGAAAGTACAGGCGAAGTAGGCATGAGAGAAACGTTGGAACTCTGCTGTCGCTCGACTTTATCTAGAACTCGTCTTACATAAATATCTAGGAGCTTCGCAGTTCAAAGCATCTCTTTCTTAGTATCATAGACATATTAGAAACGACGACACATGAAAAAGTGTGGGAAGAGAGAGACGCTGGAATACATACTCTGCTTCGATCTGGCTTATCTAGAACTCGCCTTAAATATCCATAAGCTTCGCAGTTCTAAAGGCTAGATGAAGTACATAATGGAAAACAAGTCTCGTTGAAACTTCACTAAAAGCGTTGAAGTCCTGTATAACTAAACCCCCGTCTGGTATTACAAAGTACCTGTAGGTCTTTGTAATGCAAGCAAATTCTCACCAGTATAATTCAGGCTAACCTGAGAGTTCAATTAGTATTCTGTAGTGTGATATGGTTAGATTGTATTATATTATGCTGCTATATTGTTCTTAATTAAAAAGGGTAATGGTTGTCTATGACTAACTAATAGTAATACTTTCTAATACTATCCCCAATAGGTTGCATTTTAGCATGTTATTTATTACAATGTTTGTATCGATGTGGATATCGAATTCGGCAGCAACGGCCATGATGTGCCCTGTCATTAAAGGAACTTTAGAAGAAATGTCGGCTGTAAGTGATGACATATTGAAAATTTTTAAAATTCGTATAAAGCCATATTTCTCAACAGCAAGGTGTGGTTGAGATGTGGGATACCACCAAGGTACTTGGACCAGACGAGTAAGTGGCATATTATCTTATTTAAAACAAACTAAAGCTGAAATTATATATTTTTCTCATACTTTAGTCCTCCCTACCCTTCCAAAGTACAAATTGCATTTTATCTCGGTGTATCGTATGCCGCATCCATAGGAGGTCTTGGTACGCTAATTGGTACAGGCACAAATATAGCTTTCAAAGGACTTTTCGAGAGAGCATTCCCCAAGTCAACTACACTCGGTTTTCTACCATTCATGGCTTTCAATGTGCCACCAATGTTGGTCAATACCACACTTATGGCGGTGGGATTGCAATGGCAGTACCTGGGTCTCTTCAGATCGAAAGAAAAACAAATTAGTTCGTCGAAAGAGGCCGAAGAAGCGGCACGTGAAGTGATTAAGGAGAAATCAAAAGAACTGGGAAAAGTTTCGTGTCACGAGATCCAAGTGGGCATACTATTTATTATCATGATAATACTTTTTCTTACCAGGAAGCCAGGCATTGGTGATCTCAAAGGTTACGCGGACATTATAAATGAAAAGTAAGCATGAAATCAAATACAAATCATGTACATACTTTGAATAATCTACATTTTGTTTCTTACAGAAAAATACAGTCATCTGCGGGACTCTCGGGAGTCTCATTTCTACTCTTTGCATTGCCTGTCAATTATTTATGCATCAAGTACTTCGTATGTCGAAGTATGTTTGATTTTGTAGCTGATTTGCATTCACAATTAATCTACGAATTTTTTATAGAACCGACTGTGGAGGGCACAAACAAACCGGTACTTGATTGGTCTTGGTTCTCAGTGCGACACTCTTGGGGCTTACTTTATCTGCTTGCTGGTGGTTTTGCGCTCGCCGAGGGTGCCGCTAAGTCGCATTTTGCAGCATTTGTGGGTGCATCTATGTCGGCTTTATCAGTATTGCCACACTGGTTTTTACAGTTTATTTGCTTTTGTGTTGCTGTATTTTGCACCGCTTTCACATCCAATGTGGCCATGTGCAATATTCTAATACCCATATTGATAAATTTGGTAAGCGCTTTTCTCAAGAATCGCCTATTTTGCAACTGACTTTAACTTTGTGTTTGCAGTCCTTGTCAGTTAAAGTAAATCCGGCTTATATTTGCTTTCCTGCTGCATTGGGTTTGAGTATGGCTTTTCATCTGCCGGTCAGCACGCCGCCGAATGCTATAGTGGCGCAATTTGGCTACATTCGCACAAAGGATATGGTTAGCAAACGATAAATTATTTAAATGTGTTATATTGCTCATTTAATCTACAGGCAATCGGTGGGATTTTGCCAACATTAATTGTCACCATTTCTCTGTTGGGTTTTATGCAAACATGGGGTCTCATTATATTTCCAGATCTGAATGATTTTCCGGATTGGGCCAATTCTACCAATGCAAAAGTTGATTGATTTCATTTAGTTTTCGTTGATTCTGTAAATTATTATTTATTGAAATTTTCACAATTTAATGTAGAGAATATACATCAGAGTTTACGTGTTTCTCGAATGGAAATCATCAGCATTTTCCTTTTTTTATCATATCTGGACATTATCTTTGATACTTTACATAAATATATACCGCTTTACTGGAGCTCTTAATGACAATCGAATTTCTCAGTTATCCGTTCATATCAAAGATTCCAATGGCCGGAGTTGTCCACGAAAAAATGGAATATTCTGTTAATCAAATATTAAATGCTGATTAATTGCAAGTTATTTCGGAGCACAGAATAGAGTCGCTCAGATTCAAAAAATTTAGTGAATGTATTGTCGAGTCGTAAGTCCAATTTCATGGACTCTCTTTTTTTCGGGCTGCGATTTCTCACGGAAACCACTTTTAACAAAACTTTCGTAAACTTTTTTCAAGTATTTAAAATCCTTTCGTCGTGAGAAAAAACGTAGAAACTTCACATTTAATGGGAAATATTTATTTTCATTCAAAAGACACTTCTTTGGCATTTATTTTTTTGAATATTGGGCGCGGCTACGTCTTAGAGGGTCCATCTGTTGAGTGTAATTTTTGATGACTCATTCGGCATTTTAACTGATAACTAACGAAAGACACGCGTGACATCTTGTTTCAAGGCCTGAATCGAAGTGGGATTGTTCGCATAGACCTTTGATTTTAGATATCCTCGCGCGAAAAAGTCTGACGGTGTTATATCATATTTTTGCCAATGGACTGGCCCAAAACGTGAAATTATCTGCTCACCAAAGTGTTTTCTCAGTAAATCCATTGATTGCGGGAAGTGGCGGCGTCATTTGACACCAACTTTCGTCGAGACCACAAGCTTCAATTTCACGCATCAAATAGTCGGTTATCATGGTGCGATAATGGTCGCTATTGGCGGTGACGTTCTCACCGGCATTAGTTTTGAAGAAATATGGACCAATGATTCCATCGGCTCACAAACCACACTAAACCATTGTTTTTTTTTTTTTTTTGATGAAATTGCAGCTTATGAATCTCTGCAGGTTTCTCTTCGTCCCAAATGCGGCAAGTTTGCCAAATTTCATATCCATTGCGCCAGAAATTAAACTCATTGCTGAACGAAATTTGGCTCCAAAAGGTCAGATTTTCTAGGATTTTGCGAAGCGATTTCACTTGAGATGGTCGAACGGCTTTCAATTTAAGAAGTCGACATAAAATTCGCCAAGTCGTTTTAAACGTCAGTCCGAGTTGCTGCAAACGTGGGTGAATCGACTTTCCTCGGTATTCGTGTACACTCTCAGTAACGGCTACTATATTTTCTGACTGCGTGCTGAACTTGGTCTATTCGGTCTCAAAATGGGTGATGAGGTTGCGAATATGCCCATAAGTTGAGCGAACCGCGCGAAATACAATCTTTTCATAATGAAATGTCAAACAATACTGAACAAAAATAACATTACAGCTTGACAAGAATGACGCGTGAGCTATCGAAAAAAGTACCTCTTCTTGGATCACCCGTTATATTCAAGGTCTCCTTAACACTATCCTCTGTAGTAATCGGGAATTTTCTTAACTGATCCGAGTGTAAGAAAATCAAAGCGATATGTGTTCACTCAGCTTTCTCTTTATTTACGCTAATTTTTCTCAAAATTTTCAGCATAATTTCTATATAGATATAGATACAGCTAAGAAGAATCGTCATTTATTTCAGAAACAGCTAGTGGATTCACATTTGGCAAAGCCCATGAGGTAAAATGGGTGTTTGAAAAGCAGCTCTAATTGCTTTATTCGAGAAACTAATGAAGCCAAATTATGGCCCCTACAAAAATCACAAGAATTATATTCAAAGGAAAATGAGAAAGGCGGCACACCATCGAATTTCGAACTATTCTCGGTAATTTGTGACCAGATACTACAACATCCCTACCTTCCTTCTTTCATAAGAGTGACAAAAATCTTCACTTATCATAAAACGAAGGCATGATTATACATCTAAAAATAAAACACCCCTCATACAGCAGTTTTAAAAATAGTTCGCCTGTTGGCTGTCGATATAACAAGCAACAAAATATAAACACAATAAAAAACGGGAAGGCAGTGCACAATGTCGTATTTATATTCCCAGACGGTCTCACTCCAATTCACGCCAAACGAAACTTGTAACAATTTACTTCCGGAAATGAAGGCACAAAGCTATAATAACGACCACGTTGACAAGTGAAATCAATAAAATGAGGTGGTATATTTCGAATCGTGTACTATATACCGGCTTAAACTGTTCTGGTAATGTCAGCCTCCTTTGGTGATTTGGTACTTGCAATACGCCAGCAGAGAGTGTACAGCTATAAATGTGAGAAATTTGACGTGATCTTTGTACTCCAGGTTGCCTTTCACCAACGCCCGCTATCCTCTTTCGGCAGCCCAATTTGAGGTAACAACAACATAAAGGGCAGAATATCAGAGTTGAGTTGTAGGCAACGGCTCAGGAGGTTACTAATGAGCTAACGTACACATGCAATCAATTTGTATCCTTGTAAATTTCGCCGCAGAGGAAACTTTGTCAGACGATTGTAAACAAGCTAAATCACAGCTATCCTAACAGGACTAGGTGCACGGAGATTAAATTGCGTTGCTCGAAGGATGGATAGTGCGAAATTGTATCGAAAATCGTTGCATTTCCAAATTCAAAATGAATGGAGATGAACAGATATGTTTATTTGCTCTACTATTTTTTGTTGCAGTTCATCCACCAAATTTATTAATGCAATTACGTATTAGCATTCAATTCGTAAAAATTGATTTGGCAATTTCGTTCTATGGTGGAATGTACTGCACAGCAACAAGATTGATGAGCTTGGTCTCAAAATATACTTGATGATTTCTGTACTCTTAAAAAGCTCTGAGTAGCGCTGTCATCCCAACGGTTAGGTGTCCAATCAGGTTTGCAAGCAGTCGTGGAATGACGGATGGAGGTAATATGTAAGATCTAAAATGAATTCTAACGTAGAAATGAAATCGAATAGAAATACACTTGAAACATTTTAGAATTATTATTCTTCTGGGTATGGACAGTAGAAAAAGCACCGCTCCACAGCTCAAAGTTCAAATTCGGATCAGTATTTCTCTTACATACAAGTATTAACTTGAATATGGTCAAGTAGAGTAGAGGTACTTTTTCCATAGCCTTTTGTTCACTGTTCACACGTGAGTTTTTCCAGCTGTCATGTTATTTTTGTTCAGTATTGTTTGGCATTTCATCAAGGAAAGACTAATGCCTGAACAACGTTAACAAATCGCGCGCTACCATCTACTTATGGTCTACATAATCGGCCCGCGGAAAACAAGGAGTGTTCCAAAGTAAACAGGAAAAAAATGTGTAAGACTTAAAAATTGGCCAGTATGCCAGTGCAAGCCTTTTGAATGGCCTCTACGTCTGCATAACGCTTTCCTTTCATTGGCAAATGCATTTTTCTGAAAAGGAAGAAGTCGCACTGTGCCATATCAGGTAAATAGCAGTTGTTAATGGTTTCAAAGTGATTTTTGCTCAAATAATCGGTCACAAGCGTCAAGCGTCGAGACGGTGCATTAGCGTGCAACAAACGCCAACTTTCATCTTCGCGATTATAGGGCTGAACACGCCAAATATGGCACACCAATCGCTTCAAAACTCCAAGGTAGAATACCGCATTAACGTTTTGGCCGCGTGGAATAAATACTTTGAGGACAATACCCATGGAATTATGGAAACAAATCAGCATTGGTGGGTTTTTAGGCGTTGTCAGCACTCTGGCATTTCGTTTCGGGATCATATTGAAAACACCACGTTTCGTCACCAGTCACAATATTGTAAAGAAAGGAGTAAAACTATGTCCTTCGAATGTTGGATTCTGAGCAATTTTTGGGTTGTCAGTCAAGTTGTGCGATGATTTCTGCTGATTTGGCGTCGTTCGCAGCAATTCGAACGTATGGAACGACTTGGCGCATCTAATGTCGAGGTCTTAAATTGAAAGCATACAAAATAAAGCTTGTGCAAGAACCGAAGCCCCTCGACCTTTCCAAGCGATATCGCTGCATTCTATGGGCTCTTAAAAAGTTCCAAGATGTTCTGACGTTTTCAAGTCTAGGTTTGTTTAGCGATGCGGCCCATTTCTGGCTCTATGGTTATATAAATAAGCAAAATTGACGCATTTGAAATTAAGAACAACTTGAAGAGATTTAAGTGCTGCCATTTCATTCATTGGTGCGGTTTGTGGGCCGGTGGAATCATCGGTCCATTATTCTTCCAAAATGACGCCGGTGAGAACGAAACCGTCAATGACGACAGTTATCGCTCCATGATAACCGAATACACCTGAAATTGAAGCTCGTAATCTCGACGACATTTGATTTCAACAAGACGACGCCACTTCCCACACATTTCATCAATTAATGGATTATTGACAGAAAACTTTGGTGAGCAGATAATTTAACGTTTTGGGTCGGTCGATTGGCCACAGAGATTGTGTGATGTCCCACCATTAGACTTTTTCCTGTGGGATATGTATACTTTAGATTCTAGTCTATGCAGATTCACTTAAATTCAAGTCCTTAGAGCCAATCGAAAATCTCGGATGGACCATCTGGCACGCAGCTGCGGCCAACATTTGAAAGAGATTATCTTGAACGAATAAATACCAAAGGATGTTCTTTCGAAAGTTAATAAATATTCCACATACAATTTGAAGTTTCTGTGTGTATTTGTAAAAATATAAGGAACATCGAAATGGATCACCATTTACTAAATAAAAAAATCTTGAAATCAACCTAATTTTACAAGACTTTCCAAATTTTCTAGGTCATAAAGCGATTTCTTTCGTTCCACGAAACTATTAGATCTCCAGAGAAAACGTTGGACTGCGTCTTGGTTACCGTTCAACACCGTTATGAACATTCATTCTTCCCGATTAAAAAACGTAAATTCAACCCATACATATGTATATATATATATATATGTATATAGTATGTAGCCAACGGTAATTTTCTCATTAGGCC